CCTCTCTTCGGCACAGATGTGGACTCAGATTGATCATATAGCTATGAACTATACATAGAGAGGATAAGTGAAGGACTGCCGTTTGTATTGGTCTACCTGCTTGGACTCTGACCACCTACTAGTTTGTGCCAATTTGTCTATGCGATTTGGTGGCCGCAAAAATGAGATGCAATCAGCTTGACGTCGCCAAGCCGGTCCTTCCAGCCGACAATCAAAACGAGTTGGCCGCAAGGCTAACTAGTACCCCACCAACGAGTGTAGACCCACACTAGGCAGCCATTAAGAACGCAATGCACTCAGCTAGTTTACACAGTTGTGGCCTGACCCGCCGATTTGTGAAACACTGGGTCTCCTTCAACTCTATCAGACTTCTTGACGCGCGTCGGGTACTAACGGCAGACAGCGCGTATAGTGAAAAGGCGCTTCTCTCCCTGAAGTGTGAACTTAAAAAGATCTTCAGACTGCCGAGAAGCTTGATGGACGCTACGTACAGAGGAGATAAAACCAGCAGTTAGATATGGAAACACCCGGTAGCTGTTCCAGCTCATCCGTGCTACGGGTCCCAAAAGACGGTGAAACAATCTGCGAAGTAGACGGTACACTAATAACCAGTCTTCACCGACGGTTGGAACGCTGGGCAGAGCACTTAACGTCGCCGTTCAACCAGTCCCCTGCTTTGGCTGCTTCATGTAGTTTTCTTGAGAGTGTACCATGATCACTATCAACGGGACCGCACACAGAAGCGGAGGTCCGAAAGGAACTCCAAGCCCTCTAACACCTTGAGACAGCTGGATTGGACAATTTACCAAGAGCCCACTTTGAATATGGTGGAGTTCTCGTGAGAGAACTTGTCAGACTGTTCTTGAAGATCTGGGAAACTAAGAGTGTACCCCACAACTGGGGAGAATCGATTGTTACACTCATCTACAAGAAGGGCTGTCACAAAGCCTGTTCCAACCACAGGGGCATAAGTCTGATACCAATAGCGCCGAAGCTGTTAGCGTCCATTTTATTATGCAGACTAAACCCATTTCGCGAAAGACATCCGCGAAGAACATGTCGGGTTTCGTGCAAGCCATAGATCAAATCTTCACCCTTCGTCAGCTACTAGAACACTACCACACATACAGACCCCAATTATCGCTGTGTTTTGACATCAGGGCGGCCCTTGACTCCATTGATTGTCCTGGCTTGTGGAACTGTTTGCGGAGATACGGAGTAAGCGAGATGAATGTTCTGCTTCCAAGAGCACTCCACCGTCAGACCTCAGGGGAGGATAGGGCCTATGGTGAATTCTCAGTCATCAGTGTGGTACGACAGGGTTGCCCTAACCCTTCGTTTCTCTTAAACTTTGCCATAGATGCTGTTCTGTAAAAAAACCCGTTCGAAAGTTTACACTACACTGTCCACAGAGCCTCAACTACAACAGACGACAGTCTGACAGGCGCAGGGTCAGTTGAACTGTTCCTTGAAATACTCCGCCCAACAGTTAGACCGTTGCTCTTTATTGTGAACTGCTTGTGCACTTTTGTCGCAGACCGTTTCACTAACTTTGATTCACCGACCTCCAGTGTTGCATATCAGTTGGAACAGTCTTTGACTAGTCCCTGATGAAATCGCTACTTCCATTTCGCCAGCTATTGTTGCCCACCAGTTTTAATTCTCGAGGCTTTTCGTAAGCGGACGTTGCAGACACTACCATCCCCTGCTTTGATTCCGGGTGGTCGGGACTCGCCGCTTTTTTCCATCAGTGCTACTGACTCCTTAGATATACAATGCATCGGGCGGGCTTGAAGTTCGGATCCAAAAGCAACCCTCACTGTGAAACAAATTGCTCGTCTAATCAGACCCCATTGTTCATTTACACTCATCATCATCATCATCATCGTACAGCGAGATACAGTGGAATTCACTGATCAATGACAAGCTCACAAAGTATACAAATCAAGCGATAAAGCACAAGATGGAGAGAGATTGGGCCTAATTGGAGGGAGGCAAAGAAAAAGAACCTCTATGGTCAACAAACAGAGTACACAATTTAAGTATGCATACATACCTTTTCAAGCATTCGGACCTGATAAGAAATGACAACAAGAACGCCACTGCTGTCGGTTAGTCGCCATATTCTTCACTGTCTCCAACCATCCAGGTGCAGTCTTTTGGACCCCAACCTGGAAGACGGGAGACACCGATTCTACCTTAGCGCTCTGTGCATTTCTTCATGCCTCGTTTTCACACTATCTGTTGACCTCCAAGCGGTTTCTTCCAACCTGGAGCCGCAACTGCGAATAAGGCGCTTTGCGGTAGACGATGGCTGGACATGCGCAAAACGTGTCCTAACCAGCGAAGCCGAATAACCTAAATTCGATGGGACAACGAATTTTAAATTGATCCGTTAACAAATACGCGACGCCTGACCTCCGAAACTCTTACACGCTCGCTTCATCCAACCCGCGTCAAACTACGTAAGCATCTGCAGTCGAAGTCTTCTAGACGATGAATATCTTCCGCGCGCAAATTTAGGGTCTCGCAACCATAGAGCAGAACTGACCACACGCTGGCGCAGTATACACAACCTTTCAGTTTCAACGAAACATCGCGTCTGCACCAAAGGTGTTTCAGTCCTGCGTAAGTTGCTCGAGCTTTGAAAATGCGGGCGGTTACTTCATGGACCATGCTACCGTCATTTGAAACGCAACTACCTAAGTAGGCGAAACATTTCATTGCAGTTAATTCGACCATCAAACATCAGCGCTGGGGTACACAACGTCTTGTAGCATCACTTTGCACTTTGAAGGTGCAAAGCACAAGTCGAAAGGAGATACAGAACTTGCTAGTCTGTCAAGAGCGCTTTGTGCATCCTCCATTCACTCGGACAGATAAACGATATAGTCAGCCTACTCCAAATCACAGCTTTTCTCCAGAAGCCCATTCAATACCTACGTTTTGGAGACCACTGAGTGCATTCTCCGGTATTTCATCTATAACGAAATTGAACACGAACGGCGAAAGAGAGCACCCCTGACGAACACCGCTCCAGGTTTCGAACGATTTACTTAATCACCGTATACCCTACCGCTACCAAAAGTATGCAGGTACAGTGACCGCAACAGGTTTACACACTCCCGCGGCATTTCTTTGCGGAGCAGCGACCCCAGAAGAGCTTCACGGTCAACTGAATCCAAGGCTCCTTTTAGGTCAAGGAACACTGCGATTGTTGGCCGACGATGTGTGCGATCCAGTTGGAGGAATTGAAGCAGAGTGAAGATTTGGCTGATGCAACCGCGACCTGGTCGGAATCCAGTCTGTTGTTCCAGGATATTCATCTCCCTTGAGGGTGTCAGGCAGCGAAGTATCACAGAAGTCAACACTTTTGTGATTATTGAAGCTAAACCAATCCCGCGACGGTTTTCACAGTCGTTGCGTGATCCCTCCTTGAAGATCGGGACGATCAACAATTCACCCCAGCACAAAGGGATACGCTCCTCTGACCAAATGCTGCGAAGCTTACTAGAGTTGACGAGAGAATCACTGCTTACTTTGAAAGGAATAGGGAGAAGCCCATCAGGTCCCACAAACTTCCTTTTCTTCAATGATTGAAAGCACCTTCGTACTTCCAATTCCGATGGGGGCTCACATGTTACCACCCATGGGGTTTCCGCCGCCATTTCTGGAATGACCGCACTAGCATTGGGCCAACTGAACTGTTCACCAAAATACTCTAATCAGTGATCAAGTCGTTCTTCTTTATTGTGGATAAACTGCCCACGTTTATCGCAAATAGTCTCACTGATCGGCATGCAACGACCTCCGGTACTGAGTATCAGGTGAGACAGTCTGACTATTCTCTGATGCAGAAGCTACCTCTATTTCACTAGCTATTTTAGCCTACCAGTTTTTGCGATCTTTCTGAACACTTTTCCTGAGTTGACGTTGCAGGCGCCCCCGGTCCCTATGCTGATTGGGTTCTCTAACTTTTGATCCATAAGAATTACTGACTCCTAGGAGATTCAATGTCTTCGGTGAAATTCGGGCTCGGTCACA